AGACTCTAAAAATCTTTTACCCAATTTACCTTGAACTTCAACTATCTTAGATTCATAATATTCATAGTCGTCTGCTTTCTTTGTTCATAAGGTATAACAAGTTTGTATGCTTTACCTTCTTCGAGTTTTGAGAACCTTCTGTCAAAAACTTTCTTTGACTGCTAACAAACCTTCTATGTCTAAGTCTTCAAATTTCGCACCATTTTTAGTCACAATAGCAAACTTAACTGGTTCGATGTTCCAAACTTTGCTGAATGAAGACTTTTCAAAATGGTAGAAGTAAACATTCAAATATGTGAATGGGTCTAGTTCTTCTTTAAGTCCTGACATGTACTTGTTTACTGAGATGAATTTTGTCATCTTTCTATCGGATAAAAAAATATTTTTTTTTAAAATTTACTCAGAAAAATTTTTCTTTGTATATACACCATTCTGTACGTCTAAAAGACTTTTGACATTTGCCAAGAATGTTCGTTTAGACGCTGTCATATAACCATACTCTTGACAATATTGTTTATACGAATCGTACAATGACCTTTCATCTAAACACTCAAAGTCAGTTTCATCTATGAACAGTTCATATACACTCTTGTTTGCTTCTAACAATGTTTGTCTCTCTTCGGTATGTGGAATTTGTCTTGGATTGAACTTTGAAATATCTAATGTCATAAAATATGAGAACAAGTGGTTGTAAAAGTCAGATGTCAAAGTTTCTGCTAAGTCGTCAAAATATTCTGTATCTTGCATATGAGCTTCTGACGTTCTGACAACTACATATCTTCTGTCAGAACTTTCTAACTTCATCGGAACAGCATTGTTTGAAACCATAATGAAATTTGCAACATTTTCACAAACTCTTTGGTCTTTATACTTTCTTTCAACAACACCAACTTTGTCTGTTATAAGACTCTTCAAAGCATCTGAGTTCAAAACTTTTGTTGTATCTATACTTTGAAGTTCGTTACATACTATAAGTTTCATATTCTCTATTGAAGAGTTAAATTTACCGCAGATGTTTTCTAAGTTTGTCATATTCGGGTTCGAATAACCTTCTAACAGTTTGCATAAGATATCTGTAAAGAAAGTGTTCTTACCTGTTCCTTGTTTTCCAATTATAATGAGAGCAGTTTCATTTTTAGCACTTGGATGTTGTAAGATGTTTGCAAACCAACATAAGATATACTCATAGACTCTTTCGTTTCCATTGCATATAATTTCTTTGACATGGTCTAACCAAGCTTCTATAACATTTTCTTTCCATTCTACTTGTTCGTATTTATATCCAGTGAAGATAGAATAGAAGTTTGGAGAAGGTGTATAGAACTTTATACCTCGAACTGAAAAATCTTCAAGTTTTGACAATAAGATATCCCAAGCATCTAACATCTTCATGCCAACTTGTACGACTTTTATTTTCTTAAGTTTCTGTTTACATTCTTGTTCTGAAAACTATTGTCGCTTTAGGTTTGTTAAAGACTACATCCCATTCTTTCATAACATAACATTCTGGGGCAGAGTCGACATAAATGACTAAACGTTTCAAATTCTCGACTGCTTTGTTATAGTCTCGAAATGGACACATATTTCTGAATGCTTGGAAGTCATAAAAATCTGAAACATCTATTCTGTACATTTTTATAAAAATAAAAAAAAATATTTTTTTTTATTCTTGAGCTATTTGTTGCATTTGTTGCATTTGTTGTTCTTGAGCTATTTGTTGTTGAAGTTGTTCTTGTAATACAATACTTTCACCAGTTGCATCTTCCAATTCGAAACTTTCTGCCGTCATTGACAAATACATAGGACATAAAAGTTTTACAGGAACAAAGTTTGCGTCAACTAATGTCAACGTTATACTTGCCAAAGTGTTTGAATTTACTAAGGTTGAAAATTCTGCATTCGAATGAACAATAGGCAAACCAGCAGAGAAAGTGTTGTTTATACGCATAAGTATCTTTTGGTCATAGTAGTTTCTGTCGACATTCGAATAGCACTTTGAACCTAAGTTTGAAACAATATATAAAATAGGTGTGCTTAAAGTCAATGGAACAGACATTCCTTGTATGACACCTTTTCCTGTTATAGGAAACTGTTGGTAGTAAAAACCAGATATAAGTTTTGTATTTATAGCTCATATTTTTATAGTAAACTCAGTCGGACATCCAAACATAATGAAACCTGCTCTAGTTGCAGCACATGTTACACTCGTCCTTAAAGTATTAATAAGTCAACAAAACCTGTTGGTGGTATATCTGAGTAAGTATCTTCAAAGGAGTATTTTTTACCATTCACAACAATAAAATCTTCTGGTGTCAAAAGAGCAAAACAGGCTTTAGTCGTCATTGTGTTTAAGGTTAGTTACAATATCGTCCTTGAGGACTTTGTAAGTTTGTTTATAGAATTATATGACTCAGGGTTTTTAGTCGTAATAGTATAAACCATTGTGTCTTCTGCCATTTACTTAGCAAATAAATTTTAATGAAATGTTGTGGTCGTCAAATATTTTTTATAACGTCTGGGAAACTATATTTTAAGTTCAACGTTTCACCTCCTTTCATAACGTATATCTTGTCAATGGCATTATATGAAACACCACAGCAACTAATGTCGGTTCTATTTCTTTGATGTTTATATCGTCTGCCTCTGTCAAAAGTTTCAATAGTTCTTTCAAAACTTCATGAGGGCAATGACATATGAGTTCACTTTTACAGGGTTGTGTTCGACCAAGTTTAACATTATACCTAAAGCTTGACAAATCTTCTCCTGAGTTTGAAGTTTGTCTTTCAGTTTTTGGTAGTCGTTTCGAATATCTGCAACAGAACTTAAGTCTCTGCTAACTTCAGGGTATGTTGGTTCTTTTACAGGAAACTATTTTATACCATCTTGGTCTTCGTATGGTTTCCCCACTTCAACATCTCTTTCTTTGACATTGACAATAACACTTTGACTGTTTGTTTGAGTTGTGAATTTAACTTCACATCTGCCACCCCATTAAACCTTTTGAAACACTCACGCTTCTATTTTTCGGAAATGACATTTTACTTCGAATAAAAATATGGACGTATTCGAGTATCTCTTCGAATTGAAGCAGAACAAAGTTTACACACACAAACAATACAAATACATTGACAGAATAGTTCTTTATACAAACAATGGAAAATGTTATAGAATAGCAGTCTTTGCTGAACCAAAATATTTTCATAAAGCAAAGAAAGTTGGATAACTGAAATGGTGAAAGTTCTTGAAGCAGACAAAAATATAACTTCAAAACTTACAGATATTTCTAAAGGTAAGTTTATAATACAATATTATGTCAAAACTGGCGTACTGTCAATATTTGACGGAGAGAAGTCAGTTCAAGAACAACTTACTGACCTGCTGCCAAAATCTGCTCGATGGAAGCTGTCGTTATGCAATCTGAGGAGCCCCAGCAGGTTTCATCGAACGAATCTTCAAAAGAGCATCTTCCGTGAAAAGTGCTATTGGTTTTGTAAACTTCTTTGCTCTCAGTTCATATGGACCGTCTCTGTCACCAGTATATTGTATTTGTACAGTACCAACAGTTGAAATACCACCCATAAAGTCTTCTGAGTCAGCAAATGGAATGCCAAGCCAAAAGTTTGAACGGTCTCCATTTGTATATTGAGTTTTTGACCTCCTGTATGAGTCCATACTTTCACATATGGCATAATAGAACTTTGCATTTCAGGGTTAATGGTTGTTGTGAAGTTGTTGTTAAAGTTCATAGCATCTAATGTCAAGTTGTATGACCTCATATCCTCAACTGTAGAATATTCTTCTCTTGGATAATATTTGCCATCTATGTTTATATGATATTTAATACCGGGGTTGTAGAAACAAGAATAGTCATTTATAGTTCGTCTGAACAGTACAAACATAGTATCTGCATGTTTCATTGCAGTGTTAAAGCAATATCTGTTCTTGCACCTGGGTCAGCACTTTGGTTTCCAACTTCACCTGCAAAGTCTTTGACAGATATTTGGTGTATAGGGAACATAAGTGGAACTGCAATATATTTGGCAGCTAAAGCATTTGAAATATCTGGGTCCAACATATAGACTGCAAGTCTGCTTTCTATTCTCTTGCATTCAAACTTTTCGCATGTGAACTTAACTGGGTCCCAAGCAGTTCCAGCAGCATTGAAATAATAGTTTACTTCAGTGTTGAGGTTTGAGAAACCAAAGTCTAAGTCAACTTTGTCTTTGCAAAAGTCGGCGAATGACGTTTTATTTGTTCCCACTACTTCTGTAAGAGTGAATGGGTCTTGTGTTGGTGCAATGACTAAGTTATTTTTGCTTGGAGTAAGTTCAATAGAAATTTTTCCTGCCCAGTTTGGCAAGTATCTTAAAAACCTGAAGATGAGGAAAGATGACAAAGGAACTCTAAGTTTCAGTTTTACTTTAGTGACAGCATTTCCATCTGAACCAGAAAGGTTAACATAAACTCCTGAACGTTAGGGTCAAGTCTTCTTATTTTCTCAATAGTTGCATACTGGTCTGTTTGTTCTCTAGCTTGTGGTTGTACTGAGTTTCTCAAGCGAACCATTCATAGTTTGCCCATGTTACTGTTTGAACTAAGTCAGAGTTAGAATATATCTTATATCCCATGAAAACTTCTGGAGCATATTGGTATCCGACATAGAAAATTCCATTGCAACCTTTCTTGTCAGACAACTTGGCAGAAGGTTTTATTTCAATGTCTTGTTCCACGTATAAGAATGAGTTGTCAATAGAAATTATATGAAACCTGTCGCAAGCAATATCTACTTGTTGAAGAACCTTCTCCAAACTCACCTACGTTTCCATAAGAAACAGCAGTTGTATATTCGTAAGTTCCAGGAACTATTTCTGACCTTCTAATGGCATTGTCGCATTCGTTATACCATTCGGAAACGTTTCCATTCATGGCATCCAAAACTGTTGGCGTTATATTCTGAGCGGCGTACATTTCATATGGGTAAAAATATAGAATAGTTGAATTTATGTGTCATAATAGAACCCACTCGGACCAAGCTTTACTTTCTTCCTGACTGAGTTTTTAACTCTTCTTTTTCCTTCATTGCCACTACTTTCACTAGTTGCATCTTCACTACTTTCACTTTGTTCTACTCTTCTCTTCTTCTTTGGTAACTTGCCCTCTGCTTCAAGTTGTTGCATCTTTGCCTCATGTTCACCTAGTATGTTGCAAATTTCACGTGTCCTTTTTGCCTTTAGGCTCTGGTCGCCCATCTCAGGTAACCTATATCCTAGAAAGATTTTGTCATAGTTTGTATTTGAGTCTTCGCGTATTGTTTGCATGACTCTTTCCTGAGTTTCCGGTTCAAGCTCTTCAAACAGAGCTTGTCCATATGGAATAAGCTCGTTTCCAAATATATGTTTTTGTAGCCATTCTGGTTTTCTTTCCATGTTACCAACAATATCTTTTGTGAATGGGAAAGCTTTTACCCAATCTTTCAGTCTTGCGTCATTTATTTCTGTAGTTGGTTTTATTTTGTCAAGGAACATGTTTTTCAATACTAACATTTCATTTGGTACTGTCCATTTGAGTTTTCTTAAATATTCATCCCTTCTCGGTTCATTGTCTGCAAAGTAAGTTTTTATGACATTTTGTAAACTTTCGTTTGCAAGGTCATGTACAATAGGTTCTCTTCCTTCGCTCTCCCTAACTTTCTTTCTAAACTCTTCACCAAATATACCATCTCTATGGTTCTGTGTAGTTCTTTGAGATAAATGTTCTAGAACGTCAGGTGTTATATTTCCATCAGCCATGTTCATTTCATACTGGTCCAAAATATCTGCATGTTTCATATCTTTCAATGGCATTAAAGCCGCGCTTAAAATACCAGCTATATCTGGTTCACCATTGACTTCCATTGCGTCTACAACTTCTTGGAATTGTGGTTGTAAGTTTATGAACCACCTATCCGGGTTAGCTTTATGACCCCATCTCATTGTAGTTCCATCGTCTGCAGAAACAAAAGTAGGTTTGTTTCCATATTGGTTAGGTTCTGAATGAACTTTAAACAATGTTTCATTTCTATATGTTTTGTTGAAATTTAACCTTTTATTTTCACCGAGTTCATCCAAAGATTAAACGTTATATGCTCGTAAGTAAAAAGGGTTGTTGTATTTGTGTACATTTTCTTTCAGTTCTTCCATTCTATGCTGAATATTTTCATCTGATGTTGGAGTCTTTTGTATGTCGGCAAACATTTTTCGATATTCTTCTACCATGTCAGCCGAATTTTTCTTAGACTCTTGGAAAGATTCCATATTCACCTCATACTCTTGTTGAGGGTCAAGATTTTTCGGCTGTTCCAAATCTTCATCTAGTTCTGTGAAGTTAGTTTCCAAAGGAGGGACTTGTTCGTTTCCTTCTGGCTCTTCTAGCTGTTGTTGCTGAACTATTTCTTCCATGTCTGGTTGTATCTGAACTTCTTCCTGTGGAGTTTCTTGTACCTCATCTGCTGGCATTTCATATATTCCGAGACCGTTTTTAACAAGTTCCCTATCTAAGTCATCCGGACTCATAAACCTTTCTTCTTTCGTTCCGTCTCTATTTTTTACGCGTTTCATGAAGAGAGTTGAATTGTCATTTAGCTCTGACACCAAATATCTCGGAGTAAATTCAGTCATGTCATTTGGATGATATGCTATTAAATCATATCCCTTAGCGAGCTTGTATTTTCCAGGTTTGAAATTATATCCCATTTGGTGCTGAGCCATAAAGCTAAATAGGTTCGGGTCAGTATTTCCTTCCTTGAACTTTCTAATAGCTTCTTTATATCTGTCACTAAAGTCAAGAGTAGCTGGGTAACCATAGTCTTCTTTAAGCATTTTTAAGAAATCTTGGTTTCCTTGTTCTCTACTTCTTTTATGTCCTTGCTCTGTTTGTGGTTGTTGTTGTGCAGGGTTTTGAACTGTTGGTTGTGGTGCAGTGTTTTGAACTGTTGGTTGTGGTGCAGTGTTTTGAACTGTTGGTTGTGGTGCAGTGTTTTGAACTGTTGGTTGCTGTGCTGGTTGTGGTTGTGCTGGATTTTGAACTGTTGGTTGTTGTGTTGGTTTTGGTGCATGCCTGTGTCTGTGTCCATGTGACGATGTAAATGTTTTAGGTAGTCCTGGTGCAGGTGCTTCTCTTGGAGGGTTTGGTGGTATATAAGTTCCACTAGCTAGTATATAAGTTCCACCAGCTGGTATATAAGTTCCACCAGCTGGCACATATGTTCCATCTGCAGCATAGTGTCCTACCTGACTTTTCGTTTTTAAGAAAGCATTTACTAGGTCTGTTTTGGTCTGTTGTAACTCTTTTTCTTGACTTTCCACAACAGTTGCTCTAACGGCGTCATAGGCACTTTGAACTGCCTGTCTCGTTGCTGCATCTGTTATTTTCGTCATATTTTGTGCTACTTCTCTTAACTCTTTGTCGAAACCTTCAGACTTCAGTTTCTTTCCAGATGAGAAGTCGTTCACTAGTTTCACCTTACTATGAAGAGCTTCGAAGGCGTTCTTAAAGTCAGCATTCATTAAAGCTTCATTTGAACTGTCTTCATCCGCTTGTATTTTTGTCCTTATTGACCCTATAAGTTGGGCTGCTTTAGCGTTGGCTTGGCATCTAACCAGTCATTGTTAGCTTTTATATATTCTGCGCTTTTCATTGCCTTTTGCATGGCTGCGTCGTTATTTTTACTTTCTTGTGCTAAGTTTTCATACTGTACGGTTTGGTTTTGCAACTGTAAAAGTTTTTCTGCCTTTACATTTGCTTCAACTTCTTTTTTATACTCATCGCTATCCATATATGTCTTCAGGGCTTTTTGTTTTATTTCTTCATCTTTCAGTACTTTATATTGAGTAGTATGGTTTTTCAAATTTACAACATCTTGTTCCATTTTTGCTACTTCTGCTGCTTTTTCTGACACTTTTTTCGCATATTCCTCTGTACTTAGTTCTTTCAGTTGTTCTTCTTTCTTCTTTTTCTCTACGTTTAACTCATTGAGTTTCTTTGTGTGTCTGTCATATTCTAGTTTCTTTTCGTTTTCACTTATTTGCTTCTGTATGTCTATGTTTGACTTTTTGACATCTGATATTTGATTTTTGAGTGAACTCAAATTCATTTGACTTTGAGGGTTATAGGCTGTTCCGTCTGCAGCTCCACCATAGCCTGCCATTTTCGCTAAAAGTGCCGCTCTTAAACCTCCACTCTGTGCACCAAGAACTCGGTTTAAAAGCATAGGATTGCTTGACATTTGTTGCAACATAGTGGGGTCATTCATAATTTGTTGTTGCAACTGTTGTTGTGGTGTCAGTTTTACTATTGGATGTTTCAATGCTCTCTTCCTCTTACGTATATTCTTACGTAGCTTACGTGGCATTTTAAGTGAAGTAAAAAACAGTTTTTGACAGATGTTTATATGACACTATTTGTTCAGCACAAAAAACTACTCGGTCAAAGTGTTGTCAGTTTTGTAAAATAACTGTCCTATCGTTCTATAATGGGGAAAAGGCTTCTCAAAGTATACTTCCTTAGAACGCCTGTAACTTTTCCTGTAGCGACGATAGACCCTTACTTGTCCGGACAAAGTTATACTAAACATCTTCAGGGCTAGAAGGGGCGCAGCCCCTGGAAGCCCCACTACCTTTTTTTTTTTTTTTTTTTTTTTAAGAGAGTGGAAAGATATTGAAAGAATATTAGATTTGGACACTATCGATTTTTTCAATGGAGTTTTTTGCATGATAAGGATTTACATTAAGTGTTTATCAAACTTCTTAACAATTTAGAAATGATGTGAATGTGATATACCTAAAACAAGAAAATATTTTAATTTTAAATTTATTATTAATATTATTAAAGATGAACTTATACTCACTTGATACCCTCTCATTTTTTTGATACTCTCTTACTTGTGAAGCATATCTAATAAAATGATCATATTTTTTTATTATTATTTTCATTTTTGATTTATTAATCATATGATCATATTATGCCAAATCATAGTATTTATCAGATTTGCAAAAAATATAAGACATTGTCTCTCACACCAAAAAAAAAATACAGAATAGCAAGTATGAGTCAGTAAACGATCTTTACTCGTTTTTTCATCTCTGATTTAAAGTGAATACGAATGAAGTAAATATAGTATATTCAATATGAATCGCAATTTTAATATTATTTAACACAATGAATTAAATAAATGATGTACTATGCATTGTATAAAATAAATCGAGAATAACAATTGAATCATTTTTAATGTGTCTGAATTTTATTGCTCACAATTATTTCTGCGCTTCATAAAATCATTTTTATAAATGAATGAGCATTCACCAGCTCAGGAATCAGCTAGTGGAAAAACAGAATCAGTGCACAATGCTAACTTTTGGTCTCCAGAACTGATATATCCTGAAAATACGGTTCCTGAAGTTTTGTTCCGTAGGATCATAACAAGAATGATGTCTAGTGGTGAATCATTTTGCAGTGTTAGTGAAGCAGAAAGGCAAAATATGTTAATAGGTCCAACATTGTTTGCACTGTCAAAGATGAAAAAGCCATTATTTTATAATATCTCTGTCGTTTACGTCGATAATGGATATCCTGAGTTATACATGAAATCAAATTTTACAAAAAAAGACAATTTCATTTTCCCATTCAACTTATTTGACTGGATCAAGCTATACAATGCTTCAGGAAAAATAGAAATTTTCTGCGCCAAAATTGACGTTGATGATGCTATTCTATTTTGCAAATGGCTTCCAATTATCTACTACGATGTGATTGAAGACATCTATCAGAGATATCAATTAATTAAAAATAATAAACATGTAATGTCATCCCTTGAAATGGACAAGATGCTGCAAATAGAAATTGTTCATGGGTGCATGGATAAGGATGCTTTATGGGAAACACAAATATCAGAAATTATAATTCATTGCATCAACCATCCAGATGAATCTACCAAGATAAATTATAAAGCCCTCATGGATGAGAAAAGTACTCCTGAATCCGATGTTGAAGTTGACATCTTGAGTAGTACAGTTAAATGTGTGAGTAACGCTAATATTTCAAAAACAATGATAGATATCTATGATATTGAACGGCTTTTTTCAGGATCACCAAATCTTGATTTGGATTATTAAAATGAAAACATTTAATAAACATTTGAAATTAATGAAACATATAACTTTCATGATAACATTTTAATCCCTATAAATATATAATAACAAGCATCATATAAAACAGTAACATTTATAAGCATATAATGATGAAAAATGGTTTTATTAGTAATAACTCTTAACATTAAAATATTTACATACATAATACAAATAAAAATACATTTATTTGGCTCATTCTCTCATTTTTATCATTAATTCGTTGTGTTGTTCTGAAATAAAATGTGCAGTATTACTGATTGCTTTTGTTGTCATCCTTGCCAATTTTTCTGTTGAATCGGTTACTTTTGAATGAATTCTTAATAATTTGATCTCATCGCTTTGAGATGATATCTGTTTTGAAATCTTAGATGAAGCTTCGTCGTTTTTGAGGATAATTTCCTTTAACTCTAGCACTTCTTGTTTAAATTGTTCTAATGCTTCGGAACAATGGCAATGTCTGTCTGTTTCCATTATTGAATTTGCATTATTTTCAAGAGATTTAAGTTTCCTTTGCAATGTTCTAATTGTCTTTCTTGATGACTGTAATTCATTTAATTGTGAATTCAATGAAATTGATTCTTTCTGGAGTTGAATGTATTTTTCTTGAAGCAAAGTGTATTCTTCATCTTTTTGTTCTTTATCTCCTTTTTGATCAATGAAACTTCTTATATTTTCATATTCTGATCTAAATTTTTCAAGATCTTGCAAAAGTTTATTGTTTTGATTTTGAAGTTTCTTTTTCTCTTCTGATAGTTTTTTCAATTTTGTATTTAATGATTTGATTTTATTCTCGTTAGCTTTAGTTACTTCATCAGTATTATTGCTGAAGTTTTGTCTGTCCGAACTAATTGCATCCGAAAGCTTAGAATTTGCATTTATTAACTCTGATTGCATTTGTGACAAACGGAATTTAAGTTCTGCGATTTCTTCTTTGAGTTTAGTTTCTTCTTTGCTTTCTTCCCCTGCAATCATCATTGAGCTTTCCCTAAGAGTGTCATTCTCCTTTTGCAATTTTCTGATTTGCTTTGTAAGATCTGTAATTGTATTTTTCAATCCTTCGATTGTTTGTGACATTTGCCTTATTTCATTCTCTGGAGAAGACTTATTTGAAATTAATGAATCAATTCTATTATTTAGAATTAATTTTTCATTCTCTAATTCGGCTATTTTGTTTTTGGTGAATTTTTTTTCGTTTTCGAGAGAAACTATTTGCTTCTGCATTGAAAAATTAATATTTTCCAGCTCTGATATCTTTTGACGGTTTATCTTTGTTGAAGTGTTGTTGCTATTCCTCTCAAACTCCAATTCAGAAATTCTTTTGTTTAGTTTTTCATTTTCTTTGGAAATTTCTTCGAATTTCTGTCTAAATTCTTGAATTGTTTTGCTTTGTCTTGGAGAAAATTTACTAGAATTTATTTCTTCTGCTAGTTCAGCATTCTTTGTTTGTAATTTCTGATTTTCTTTTTGCAGTTCTTCGATCTTTGTATTCAATTCTTTTTGGTCCTTTGCTCTACTTATTTTCGATACAGCATCAGAAATAATGTCCATATCGTTTAATTTTTTCTTAAGATTCTCATCTACTTCTGTCATTCTGTTAATTTCCTTTTGGCAATTTGCAAGTTGTGAATCTAATTCTTCTTTTGCAATACTCAATTCAGAAATATTTTCTTTCATTTCCTCCAGTTGCTTCTCGGCTTTTGTTGCTCTATCAAGTAAATGATCCCTTTCTATTTGAATATGCTTAGTCTTTGTTGGGGAAGGTCTTTGCTTGAGAATGTTATTTTCTTTGGTCAAATCATTGATTTTTGTTTTAGCATCCTCTAAATCAAGTTCTGCCTTGGTTGTTCTTGCAAGTAGGTTATCTCTTTCTGCTTCAACGCTTTTAACCTTTCTTGGAGAAGGTCTTAGCTTGAGGGTGTCGTTTTCCTTTGCTAGTGAATCGAGTCTGGATTTAATATCTTCTAATTCTAACTCTGCTTTGGCAGCTCTTTCAAGCAATTTATCTCTTTCCAATTCGAGGCTCTTTGTTTTTGTTGGTGATGAACGAAGCTGTAAGCTCTCGTTGATTTTGGTGATTTGCTCATTTTTCTCGCTCAGATCATTAATTTTGGATTTTAGTTCATTAATTTCGTTGTCTTTTAACTCAAGCTGTGATTTAATGTCTTGAAGAAGTTTCAGAGATTTCTGAGATTTCAATTTAATATTCTCTTGAGTCAAATTATCATTTTCATGTCTCAGATTTTCGATAGTCTGCAACAAACTTTCATTCAAGTTTTCAAGATTCTCATCACTTTCATTTTTGTTTGTCGACAGAACTGATGTTGTATTTATTAATTTTATTCCCTTTTTTGATGTCTGTGGTTGAGGAGTTTTAAGAAGGGAGCTATAAGATAAAAAGCTGCTGTTGTTGTTCTTTAATTGATTTATTTCTTCTTCTAATTCTTTATTTTTGGATGTTAATTGTGCTATTTCTTGTTGAAGAATTTCTACTTTTTCTTTCGGTGAAAAAGTTGTTAACTTTGATTTCATTTTTTCAATTTCAAGTTTTAGATTCGAATTTTCGTGTATTAATGATTCATTTTCATCTCTTAATTCAATCACTTCTTGTTTGTTGTAGTCATCATCTCCGCTGTTTTGGTTTAATTTAGCAATTTCATCTTTCATTTCTTTGTTTTCTTGTGTTAAGAACTCAATTTTCGAATGCATATTTTGATTTTCGAAGCTAAGATCTTCGATTTTTTGTTTCATTTCTTCGTAATCGTTTCCGTATTCATCAACAATTGTTTTGAGAGATTGATACTCTGTCTTTGCTTTTTCATTTGATTTCGTGAGTTTGTTGTTTTCTTCTTTGAGTTTGTTGTTTTCTTCAGATAAGGAAGCGAGTTTATTATTCATCTCTGTTTCAAGAAGACTTAATGAGTGAGTATCATTCATTTGATCAATAATTTGTTTTAATTCTTTGCTTTCTTTGCCAAGTTTCTCGTTTTCTTCTGTAAGTTTTGTTAATTTTAATTTTAATTCTTTTTCTATTGAATTATTTTGTAAATCAATCTTAAGTTTTTCGTTTTCTTTTTTGAGTTTTCCATTTTCTTCAGTCAAACTTGTAAGCTTTGAATTCATTTCTGTTTCTAACAAGCTTAATGAATGTGTGTTTTGAAGTGCTTCATTTTCTGCTTGTAAATCTTCTATTTCTTCCTTAAGTTTTTTATTTTCTTCTGTTAATGCAGTAAGTTTGCTGTTCATCTCTTCAAGTAAGCTCAAATTTTGGGGATTGTCAATATCTGATTCGAGTTTTTCATTCTCTTTTTGCAATAATTCATAATCATTTTTAATTTTATCTAGTTTAGATTTCAATTCATTATTTTCGCCTGTCAAAGTCAGCACGATTCTCTTTTGTTTATCTAATTCTTCGGTTTTATCTTTGTTTTGTTCATTAATTTTTGTCAAATTCTTCTCGAAGAAATCTAATGTATCTTTTAGTGATTTGTTTTCAGCTAGAGTTTCTTCTTTTTCTCTTTTGATGTTTTCGTTTTCATTCTTCAGCATATCATTTTCCTCATTAAGATTCGTTAATTTGTTGTTCATCTCTGTTTCTAGCAGGCTTAATGAATGGGAATTTTGGATATTTTCGATTTCAGTCTTAAGTTCATTATTTTCTTTAGATAAGCTCTCTATTTTACTATTTAAATCTTCATTCTCTTTCTTAAGCTGCGAAATTTCTGATTCGTTTTGGGCTTTGATTTCATCAATTGTGAATTCTAATGTTGATTTCTGTTCTGATATATTATTAATTTGATTCTTGAGTTCATCAATCTCTTCTGTTAAGGCAATGATCTTTGAGCTTGATTCATTCTCTGACTCAATTTTCTCTACTTGGATTGAATCTAGTTCATTCTTAATTGACTCTAATTCTTCTTGAAGTTTAGATTTTTCTCCAATCAATTTTTCAATAGTCTCTTTATTATTTTCAAAATTTTGTTTCGAAATCTGCGATTGAAGTTCATTGTAATTTGCTCTTAGTTTTTCAAGTTCTTCTGACATTTGATTTCTTTCATCTTCTACTTTTATTAATACTTCTACTTGACTTCTAAGATCTTCATTTTCTATACTGATTGAATCAAAATTATCCTTCTCTTTTTTCAGATCTTCGATTTCCTTCTTTAGATTTTCGATTGTTTCCACATCATTATTTTCATCGATTGATTCTTTTACCAGTGATTTATTCACTAATTTCTGTAAATCATCGCTGATATTTGATGAATTTTCATCTTCTTTCTCTATCTGCTTCTTCAGAATTTCATTCTCTGATTGAATTTCTTTCATTTTTTCTTCACTTGATTTAATTTCTTTCCTTAGTTCTTCGTTGTCGTTAATTTGATTTTGTTGTTTCTCTTTTAACTCTTCTATTTTTTTTCTTAATTTGTCAGCTTCATCTCGTACTTTCTTAAGTTCTTCTTCTTTGTTTATTACTGTTTGTTTTGTTCTTTGCAATTCTTCGTTGAGTTGTTCGTTTCCTTGTTTCAAATTATTTTCCTTATTTTCATTCTCCTGTCTTTCGTTTTTGATTCTTTGTAATTCATTGTTGAGATCTTGGTTTTCTTTCTTGTATTTATCCAACTCCTCCATTTCTGAGTTAATTAATCTATCATTTTCATCTTTGAGTAATTTCTTTTCTTGTGCCAATTTGTCGAAATCTTTTTCTTTCTCTTTCATTTGATTCATTTCATTATTGAGTTTCTGAATGATTTCATTCTGTGCCTCCCTGCTTTTAATTAATTTGTCATTTTCTTCTCTAAGTTTATAAAGTTCATCTTCATTTGTTAGTGATGAAATTTCATTTTTCTGGTTTTCGTTCTCTTTCTTGAGATTTTCTTTCGCGGCATTTGATTCTTCCATAATTCTCTCATTTTCTTCTCTTAGTAATGTGTTCTCGTCCTTCATTTTGATGTACTCCGACTTGAGATTTTGGTTTTCTTTTAGAATTGAGTTCATTTTTTCTTTGTATACTGTCAGCTGATTGATTTGGTCCCTTAATTGATCATTTTCCTCTTTCACGAGTCTCACTGCTTCAACTTGCTTCTGAAAATCATCTGAATTAGATTCTGTCTTCGTCACTTGTTGCTTTTCTAATTCTTCAGATAAATCATCAATTTCTTTCTCGAGAATCGAAATTGTTTGTATTGATTTCTTTGCAGACTTCTCTAATTCTGTTATTTTAGCATTTAAATTCGCATTTTCTTCCTCAAAATTTGAAATTTCTTGTTGGAGATTTTTAATTTCGTTGTTTTTGTCATCGATTTCTGATTTTATCTTCAATAATTCATCATTTCCAGCATTTTGAGCAGAGTTTTGCTCTATCTTTGAAAGGGAAAGCTGCTCTTGAAGATTTGAATTTTGGGATTTTAATGTTGAAATAGCTTTTGATGACTCCTCTCTGAATTTTGTTAGTCTGTCTTCGGTTGCTACACTCTTTACTCGCTCTTCATCCAAATCATTTTGTAATTTAATCAATTGTTGTTTTAATTTATTGATTTCAGATTCAGAATTTGATGTATTAGATTGATCATTCTTATTATTATGTTCATCTGCTAATTTTGCAAGTTCAAGCTCGTAAACATCGATTTGTTTTTCATATCTTGAGGTTTCTAATTTAAATTGTGATTTAAGCTGCTCAATTTGTTTTTTCAGTTGATCGATATTTTTATCTGATGACTTTTTTTCATTAACTAGTGCATCGCATTGATTTATTTTTTCATCAAGCTGATTTTGTAGAGATCTAGAAAGTTCATGAAATCCTTCTATTTCTTTTCGTAATTCATCGTTTTCTTTCGATGCTATTTCGAGTTTTTCGATCAAATCGTTATGATTTAAAAAACTGCTACTAGAATCTATTAAAGATCTAGCTAAATTACCTTCTCTACTTGGTGAATTTGGAGATAGTGATGAATTGCTACTTGATGTTGAGTTTTTTGTTAATATTTCATTTGACGGTCCTTCATATTTTGCAATTATCTTTTTTAATCGTATAATTTCCTCATTGTTATGTATTCTTAGATCGTCAATTTTCATTTTATAATTAAATAACTGATTTTGAAGCTCAGTAACTGTTTTATTGTACTGATCAACTGTAATAAAATGAGATGTTTGTGTGTTTGATGGTGGTGGTGTCAATCCTCCTTCTGAACTTGTTTCCCATATTTTAGAAGTCCTGATAGGAGTCGACATGAATAAAGGGTCCACTGTAAGGCCAAATAAGACCTATCGTCATTCCAAAAATAGTGGTCGAGATGGAATGACCAACAAAGAGAATAAGTCAAATAAATGTATTTTTATTTGTATTATGTATGTAAATATTTTAATGTTAAGAGTTATTACTAATAAAACCATTTTTCATCATTATATGCTTATAAATGTTACTGTTTTATATGATGCTTGTTATTATATATTTATAGGGATTAAAATGTTATCATGAAAGTTATATGTTTCATTAATTTCAAATGTTTATTAAATGTTTTCATTTTAATAATCCAAATCAAGATTTGGTGATCCTGAAAAAAGCTGTTCAATATCATAGATATTTATCATTGTTTTTGAAATATTAGCGTTACTCACCCATTTAACTGTACTACTCAAGATGTCAACTTCAACATCGGATTCAGGAGTACTTTTCTCATCCATGAGGGCTTTATAATTTATCTTGGTAGATTCATCTGGATGGTTGATGCAATGAATTATAATTTCTGATATTTGTGTTTCCCATAAAGCATCCTTATCCATGCACCCATGAACAATTTCTATTTGCAGCATCTTGTCCATTTCAAGGGATGACATTACATGTTTATTATTTTTAATTAATTGATATCTCTGATAGATGTCTTCAATCACATCGTAGTAGATAATTGGAAGCCATTTGCAAAATAGAATAGCATCATCAACGTCAATTTTGGCGCAGAAAATTTCTATTTTTCCTGAAGCATTGTATAGCTTGATCCAGTCAAATAAGTTGAATGGGAAAATGAAATTGTCTTTTTTTGTAAAATTTGATTTCATGTATAACTCAGGATATCCATTATCGACGTAAACGACAGAGATATTATAAAATAATGGCTTTTTCATCTTTGACAGTGCAAACAATGTTGGACCTATTAACATATTTTGCCTTTCTGCTTCACTAACACTGCAAAATGATTCACCACTAGACATCATTCTTGTTATGATCCTACGGAACAAAACTTCAGGAACCGTATTTTCAGGATATATCAGTTCTGGAGACCAAAAGTTAGCATTGTGCACTGATTCTGTTTTTCCACTAGCTGATTACTGAGCTGGTGAATGCTCATTCATTTATAAAAATGATTTTATGAAGCGCAGAAATAATTGTGAGCAATAAAATTCAAACACATTAAAAATGATTCAATTGTTATTCTCAATTTATTTTATACAATGCATAGTACATCATTTATTTAATTCATTGTGTTAAATAATATTAAAATTGCGATTCATATTGAATATACTATATTAGTAGTATATGTGAAAGGGTTTAGTGACTTTTTTTGTTACATCTATATATAGACGATGCATTAAAATATAATTTATAAACACATTAAAAAAATTAACATTAATTTTAAAATAATTTATTTTTTCATCTTTTATAAAAGAAGCTATATATATAGATGATGTCAGATATTCCGCGATTAATTAAACATTGTTTAAATCCTGAATGGGTTAAACTTCAATTTAAAAATGAAGATTGTGAATTATTAAATGAATATGAAAGCCAAAATAAGCTAATGAGGTATAAATATAATGATAAAGAATATTTAATTTCATGGAATCAATGGAGTCATAATCAAAGACCTCATAAACGAGAAGAAGAAATTGAAAATAATGAAATGGAAATCATTGATGACATTAAAGAGGATGGAATTCCTAAATTTTGTAGAAAAACCTTTAGAACTAAGTTAGGAGCATATAAACGTAGAGTATTAAATCCTGAATACATAAAACATTTATTTAAAAAGGAAGACTGTGAATTATTAAACGCTAATGAATATGAAACCAATAAATCAAAATTGAAATATAAATATATTGGAAGTGATGAAAGGTGTAAAGATAAAGATAAAGTTTATTCAGTTTCATATAATAACTGGCACACGTTAGGGATAAGAAAACATTTAGGAGATTATGGTAAAAGTTCTGAATTCTTTAAATCTAGTATGTACGAGAGAGTAAAAGAAATTAGAAATAATTATTTTCATGAATAAAAAATAAATTTTAAAAATTCATGTCTTACATTTTTTGAATAATTTATTTTTTTATTTAATGATAAATGAGCGGATCAAGATTCGTAACCGTCAATCAATTAATGGATGTTCTTTCACCAATTCTTGAAAATGTTAAACAAGTAGATGTTTATTTCGATGATTATGTAGAAAGTTTATATTATAAAGGTAAGTTTAATATTAAACCTATTGCTTTTGCATTTGATAATAAATTAATTGAAAATGCAAAAATTTGGGAATTAATTCCGAATATTGAATTTATAACAAATATTAATGATAAATGGTTTAAACGAATTCCAACCACAAAAGTTCTTTGTAAATTAATGATCAAAACTGAGGAAAAAGAATTTAACGGGTTTAAATATCATCCAAATAAAGTTTCAGAACTAGAAAATGAAAAACTTCAGAAAAAATTAAACGATAGACTTTCAAATGATCGTATTGAAAAAATAAATAAACTAGCAGAAGTTGCATTTAATAATGAAATATTTGATGAATATAACCTTGAACTCAGTGATGGACTTTAAGTCCTGGGCACTTTGTGCCTTGGGCTTTAAGGACCCGGGCTCAACGAGTCATGATTTATGATATCAATTATCTGATTTATTCTTTCTTCAATCTCTTCTATTCTTTTTGTTAAATCATCTATTTTCATTAATGAGGTGATTCTTGATTGAGGAATAGATTTCAAACTAACCACTCCTTTTATTTTTGAAATTTTGAATCCATTAACTTTAAACATTTTATTCAATTTACACGTTGTCAATTCTTCAAATAATTTTTTATTATTAGCATAATAGTTATTAAATTCTTCAACAGATGAAAAAATTTTTATTTCAGTAATTGGTTTAACAACGTTTATTTTTTGTTGAACATTTTCACTTTCATTTATTTCTTCCTCCTTTGTTTCATTTATTTTTAAAATTGGTTTCATTTATTATAAAATAAAAATTAGAATATAAGTGATAAAATATATTTTTTAATTAATATTAAATCAGAAATGGCGGCAGGATTCTTTAAAAAATTATGGGATGGAATTAAGAAAGCTGCAGGTTGGGTTCATAAAAATATTATTAAACCCGTTGCAAACTTTTTGGCACCAGTAGCGAAAACGGCAGGAACTATCATAGGTGGAGTATTAGGTACAAAAGCAGGTAATCCAGCGATGGGAGCACAAGCAGGTAACGCAATTGGTGGAATTGCTGAAGGAATACTTAATAAAATAGGGGGTGGATAGTGGAAAAATAAATAAATATTATTTTTATCTTAGTATCGGTTGTAGTCTTTGATAAACTTTTTCTCCTTTATTTAAAATTTCTCTTATTGGGGCAGCTTTTGGCGTTATTGATTCAGCAACGTCACTAATTGCTTCTTTATTCTTAAATATCCAATTTGCTCCTTTCTTCATTGTTTCCCAAACTTTATGCGCTCCTCTTTTTACTTTATCCCACAGTTTCTTAAAGAATCCTGCAGCCATAGTTGATTATTTCATTAAAATTAAAAATTCATTTTCATCTTTTAATTTTGATTTTTTATTTATTAATAAATGACGACTAACTATTTAGTGCCAAACACCAAACCGATTAATGGAAATGTGTTTCATTCATTCGAAAAGATAAATGAAATATTCGCAAAGAATGACGGTAGAAGATATTATAGAGAACTTGAAAGTTCATGCTATGACTCTGATGCTCCATATTTTGATGATAAACAAACTCATTTAAGAATTACAAATCCGGCTCATGATGTGAACCAATTAGGTGACACATATATTAAACGCAAAGTTAAAGCAACTCTAGTTTCAAATAAAGCTTTCACATGCGATGCCGCTTTTAAATGCATGCGTTTATTCGTTGGTTACAAATCATCAAATCAAAGCTTTAAACAATTAGAAGTAGAAACCGAAAGAGGTGATGCCGGTTATCTTCAGATGGATTGCGCCCGTGAATCTTTCGCATTTGCAACATATAAACCAAAATCAGAAAGGAAAGTTAAAAAGTTTGTTCATTCGTTATATAATAATGTTCAAAAATATGATAACTCAGTATGTGGTAAATATATTGACCCTTCAGAAGTTTTCAAGAAAGCAAATGAAGAAGTTGATATCACTTTTGATATGATTATTCCGGTAAATGATTTGTTAGCATTTCAGGCGTTCGATGATTATCCTAAATCATTTGGTGAAATCATTCTTAAATATTATGTTTTCAGGGATACTTTAGTATTTTGTCAGGTTGACCCGTTAAGAGTTGCTGATTTACAAAATTACGTTTATGAAAAGATAACTGATGAAAATTATGAAAAGATTATGAATCATGTTTATAAATATGATCGCAAATTCCAACAAATCGGACTTCCTACCAAATTAATTACAAGCTTAGCCGCTACATCTGCTGACGCAACAGTTGATGACGTTATTATTTCATGCACAAAGATGGAAGTTTTAGAGGATAAATGCATTACACCAGGATACGGTTTAATTGAAGAATCAGTTAAAGCAATACCACGTTTATTCAGTAAGGAAGATCCATTCATGATTCCAGCTCAACATATTGACGTTCGTTCACTAAATGGAGGTTGCATCACTCCTGAAGGTATCAGCTCAGATTTCTCATACGCTCTTCATAATGTTACAGATGTTGTGTTAACATTTCCGAAGAATGCAATGCAAAGAACGTTTTAGAAAATCCAATGCTTCGAGGTCTTCAGGTCACTATAGATTCCAGAAACTTCCCCGATCAAGCGATGACCACAGTGGGCGACATATTCTTTACACGTATGCTTCAAGCTTCTGATTTAGATGGAGTGAATGAATGCACAGAAGAATACGAGGACTCATTAACTAGACCACTGAATGATGATAATGGCACGCCCATTAGCTAGAACATGGAAAGACCAAACTTCATTCTTATGCACTATTCCAGTTCAACGTGATGGAGCGGGTATATTCTTTGATGGATTAGAAACTTTCAACTCACAAGTTACAGTACAAGTGAAAGCTTATCCAATCATTCAGGGTGAAAATGACACTTACTGTTCAAAAGTGACAAATCCTCCTCAGGTTTGGTTTACTAGGACTACATATTGGACATGGACACCGGATGAAGGTTTGAAATATCATCCAACAGGTACACCACCGCAGTATAGAAGTTCATATGATGAAATATTGATGAATAGAAATGTATAAAATTATAAATTTATTTTTGATTAAATGGATTTAAATTCATCACCCCTTATGAAGAATTAGCGGGAGTATATAATACATACGTAGATGATATGATTAATGAAGCATTGAGTGATAATAGAAATGCTCTATCTAAGGAAAAATTAATGAAAATTCCATATTCTGAATGTTACTTAAATTCAATCACTGCAGCAATTGGTAAACAAAATAAAGGTAAAACATTAACGATATTAAAACAAATTATCATTATTGCTAACACTTCCCCCATTCACATGTGTTAATTTATATCAACCGTTCAGGTTCACCTTCAGATAATACATTTGAATCTTTAAAGCATTTAATCAAAATTCCAATTATTTATTTATCACAAGAAGAAGCAGAAGATTATTTAAAAAACTTTTTAATGTATAAAGAATTATATAATACAATCAAGAAGCAAGGATTAGAGGATAAAATTATTGATAAACAACGGGATGAATTATTTGAAACACTTTCTATTTCAAATTTTGATAGAGAATTTTTGCATTCACTCATTTTTCTAGATGATGCAGTGAAATCAAAACTAATAACAAATGAGAAATCAT